GCGCCAAAGCTCCCATAACTAGATGGTATGACCGAGATTACAGATTTCTAGATCCAACCGATAATCGACAACCGTAATCCATAACACAGGCTATTTTTCAAAATTTGTTGTCCGTGGGATTTGAACTCTAGACCTGCCACTTGGAGAGGGTAACGACTAGACCACTACACTAAGTCACCACACCCCTCCTCCTCCTCTTTTCTTATTTGATGAAGTTTATGTAATTGCATTATATGTTTTGCCATTTTTGGATCTTGTTTAAAAATATTAATAAATTCATAATTTGTTGTTTGATCAAGTATAATATTTACAGCTTTTTCAAAACTCCCTTGTTCTTTTTCATCAATTTTCACTTTTTCATTACTTATCCTTTCTTTGAAATTTTTTTCTCCAAAAATAAATGGACCTTTATGCTCTGAAGTTAATTTATTTCCTAAAGTATCGTGAACAATTAACAATTCACGAAATTCTTGACAAGAATCATTACATTTATCACAATAAATATCTAAATTAATATAATCACATCAACATTCTCTATGAATCGAACATCTCTTATATTTCTTTATTGAATAATTTCGCATATCAATAGCACTTTTATCACCTCCATAAAAATCATTCATTATATTTATACTCATATTTTCAAAAATTTCTTTAATCTGTTTAAAGTTCATCCATGAATTTAATTGAACATAACACTGTTCATGAAATCGTCCAGATTCTCCTCTTTCATATTGTCCAGAGAAATATTTAACATCTTCGTTAATATTTTCAAATTGTTCTTGTGTTGTAATCATTGTCCTTTTACATTCAATTCCATCTTCAGCACAATTTGAACATTTCAAATCATTACATTGATATCGTTTACAGCATTTTTGACATGAATTTCTACAATAAACATGATTTTTTTGACATTTTTTACATGGTGATCCATCTTTAACTACAGATTCTCTACATCTAAATCTTTCTGAACAATTTATACAATAAGTAATAGTAACTAAAGCATGTTTAACCTTTTTGAAAACATTTTATATCATTTAACTTATTTAATAATTTGATTCATTTATAAATTAATATTATTAATTAATTTATAAAATAAAATATAAATATATAATAAAATTAATCTAGATAATCTTAAAATTAAAAAAATAACAAAATCATTATCATTATTAATATTTATTTTTTTATTTTTTATAAAATATGTAATACCAAATTATATTGATAATCAAAACAGTTTTGAGAATGAATTAATCTATGAATTATTCCTTCGTATGAATTTAGATCGAAACAGATATTTCGGTTCAAAACCACTCTTTTACCCTAATATTATACAAAACATACAACAAGAAGAACCACCGATAAGACAAATACCAAGACAAATACAAAGACAACCTGAAAGAATAAGAGAAAACCCAGAAAATCAACAACAAAATATTCAATACGAATGTTCTATATGCAATCGTAATTTTTAATCTTGATAATTTAAATGATGTATATTCAGCATGTCAATACAATTATATATTTTATGCAACATGTTTAAATAACTACCTAAGAAATCAAGACAATGATAACGCTATGAATCGTATCTGTCCTGTGGGAAATAGAAAACAACACAGAATACGTCAAATAGAATTATGGAGAGAAGCTAACAGAGGAAATTTTAGACCCAAAAGAAGATAATATATTATATCAATAATGAATAATAAATTTCACACCCAAATTTCAAAACTGCAGTAAACCGCAGTTAATCCAAATTCTGGATTTTTTTTATGCAAGACTTTAGATTACATCAATTTAAAAACATGATCAAAAAAATGGAGCCAAAAACCAGAAAGTGGAAAAATGCAGGAAGAATCACATTTTTTCCTTTTATATTAGCGAAACTGCAATTCTGATTGTTTTGTATTACCCCGGGAGTGGAAAATAAGCTTATATAAATTTAAAATATATACATAGAATTCTCTTTTTTCTCTTTTTTTTCCTGGATGTTATGATTATCTGTTTTGTTTTTTTTTTTTTAAAAGTGAGGCCTTGCTCATATCTTTATTAGGTAATTTATATAAGTAATCATATAGAAACTATATAAAAACTAAATTTGTAAAATAACAAGTATTTATAAATTACATGCAAGAATGGGAGCTCAGACTA